TCATAGGGTTAGGAAAAGAATGAATATGTTTATATTATATGTGAATTCATTTTCATATAAAACTTGAAATGCGGGACAAGGTTTTGCTATAGGACAAAACGAAAAAATCATCTGTCGATTAGATTGATATTTGGAAAATTATAGAAAACCGTTAAAATTTAGTTTTTAAATTTAGCCTTCGATTAGAGGAACTTAAAACATTTTTATCGTAATTATCGTAGAATTTTTGTTCAGTAATGAGGTGCAATAACGGTTTTGTTAAAAAGTAAAATTCTCGCCAAATCCTTACACGAATTTCTTTTTACAAATTGGAACAAGGTGACATCACTATGGGCCCCATACACGCTATAAAATCACCTTATAGTCGATTGCTATATTTTATAATTCTATGTATGTATGTATGTGTATAGATTTTAATAATATATGTATATTTAAATTTTTTGCTCTTTAAATTAAAATCGTTCTTCTTTTATATTTTATTAATCATTAAAAGAAATGATATTAATTTGATTCCTTCATTATAATATAAAAAACATATTTTAACTCGAATTATAATTTTTATTTTTTTTTATTTTCACTTTTTTTTGTCAAATAATGTATTATTTTTTAATTTTTATGAATTAATTAACCCACATGCGATACGATGATGAGGTTTACACTTTAAACTTTCTAAAAAAAACAAAACAAAATTAATATAGAATATGACGGTATGAATATGTCAGCCGCCGTGATCTTGGCAACAATAAATTTTTTTCTTTTTTGGTTCATTTACTCCTTTTTTTCGTAACTTTTATATTAGATTGGAAATTTATTTAAATGTAAATCTATATGTGCCGAAAATGAATAAACAATATGGATATACATATGTATAGAAATTGTCTATGATGGTAATTGTCGTTTGCTTTTATTAACCAAATGATTGTGATGCTGCGAGGCAGGAAATTCTAATGTTGTCAAAAAATAATTCTATAATTATTAAAAGCTATAAAAATTTTAGACTATTGAATTAATGAACGTTAAAATAAATAAGTATGGGTATCGGAGATGAGTCTAAAAATTTGAGTTACAATAGAATAAAACTTTTGCTTCTCATATACGGTTGTATTAGAAAAATTTAATGGTTTAAAAATTTAATGAAATTTCTGTTGTATAGGGGCTTGAAAAATCTCAGATAAATGTTATGTATAAAGATGTACATGATTTATATTGAGATCTTGATTCCTAATTAGATTTTCTCGCAATAAATTTGGATTTCAATTTAATTTTGAATGATCCCCTAATGAAAAGCTTACAAAATTTCAATTTTTTTTACTAGAACTTCAATTTCGTTTAATTTTCATAAATTATGAACTAAGTGTATATGTATGTAAATTTAATTTTTTAACATTATTATAAAATTCTCAAAGTCAAGAAAATTTTCATATTTCATATCACGTTACTGCATGTGCAACATTGTGTTTAAATTTATATGACACTTGGAATTTTGTTCACAATAATAATTTTTAAGCAAATTTTTCTTTAAAACTACTTTGACTTCCCTTTATAAGGAGTTTTAAATTTTGATCTTAATCCAAATTTTATTGCACGTTATTCATTTATGTATGTATGTCGGAAATTTTCCATATGCACAATTTACATACCTTGTAATTGAGTATTAAAATTATAATTTAAAAATAGAATTATAAGTATAATGCTAAACAATGTTGATATTAATTTTGACATTCAAGTTGCTACTGCAAATATTCATTCGCATGTGCAGTTTTCTTTGTAAGTGGATTTTAATCATAATTTAATAACAATAAATTTAAAGCAATTCTGGATTGATTTAAAAATTCAATAATTTGAAATTTTAACATGTACGAACATTTTATATTTATATTTTACATGTTTTTATAATTTTATCACAATATAAATTATCTTTTTTAGTGTATATAAGATAAAATTTTTGTTTACCGACTGGATTACTACAATTTGCTCTTTCAAATTCACGATGAACCACTTATAACGCATGAAATTCAAATTATAAAATAGGATTTCAACATCTTTTTGAAGAGGAATGATTGCAAAATGTTGCAATTATTTGCAAAGTATTTTTTATATCAAACAGCATTTTTAAAGTTCTGGACTATGGGGAAGTCAAAAACGATTGAAAGAATAAAATTGAATACCATATTTTGTGAGAACCTTTTGTATTTAATTAGAATTCTGTAATTAATAGAAATTATATATGTATGTACTTTTGTAAAAAGTTCTTATAATTCTAAAATTGGAAATTTAAATTAATTCCAACATTATTCTTCACTATTTGTATCAATTCTAATCCGTTTTGAATTATTAAAAACTTCGAAATTGGATGTGAAAATATAAATATATGGGAACACTGTTTCATTCAACTGATCTTTAAAAAATTACAAAATTTACATACACATATTGTAAAATAATTTGCATTAGGTGGCGGTAACTGTATCAAATATTATATAATAGGTTAATATCAAATTGTTATAACAGTGATATATGATTCGAATGCTCATATAATAATATATGTAGGTTCATACAATTGTGTATAAAATATAATTTTAAATGAATTCTGTAGGTATTATAAAATAATGTAGGTACATACTTGTGTAGTTCTTGAATCGAGTTTTTTTTTTTATGTTCATTATTATTGATTGTATAGTAGGTTCAGGAAATCAAGTTAATAAAATATAGTAAAACGCTATAAATATTTTACAATTTGCATTTATTTTACAACATATAGGGATTAAGTATTCATATATGGTACAGTGCTGAACTGAATTTGAATTGAAGCCCGGAAAGTTTAAATATTTTGTTTGGTTAAAATAATAGAAAACATATTTGAAGTTCGAAATAGTTTAGCTTAGCGAAAACACTTGTTTACCATGAATAAGCTATACGGTTTTTTAATAAAACGAAATAGAATAAGTAATATCTGCTTTATTATTGAATTTAAATTTGAAGATGACTATTTCAAAAATTATGATATACAATTTGCAGATTAGTCTATTTTTATTAAAAATTATTTCGTTTGAAAGACGAGTCAAAGACGGAACTTTAATTTAAACTCATAATTGGAAATCAAATTTTAAACTAATTCAAATTTTCTTGAATTTTTCTTAATTTTGGTAATCTAATCCGACCCTGTACTTATAACAGCCCTACATACATACATATGTGTATTATGTATAATTGAAAATCGTTTCAACTATATAAATCTATTATGCAGGATTTAAGTGGATTGAAATCATAAGATTCATAATTTGTTCTCTCTATATCTATTCTATAAAAATGACATTTTTATGACTAATAATATTTTACATCTGAACTAATTCTGAACGAGTTTTTGCAATTCATTTTTAATGCAACATGTTATTAATATCCGCAAACGTATATATGTGTATGCGCTTACTACAAGTAAGTTATGAAGCTTTTAAAATATTCTTTTGATTATGTTTAAAATTTAAATCAATTGTGAATGCAATAATCCAGATCAATTTGTATCAGTTAAATATAATGTTGAAATCGAGATTTGATTTTTCCTTTTTACATACATACGTTAGAAATAAAATTTCTATACCCATATAATATAGAAATTGTTCGAATATAAAAGAGTGGAAAAGCATATAAGCGAAAGGCGTTAATAATATTTGGAAACTGTAAAATTTATTAAAAAATTATAATTCATTTATTACAGGATTATTTTTCATGTACATATATGTATGCATGTGGATGCAATATAATACATCTGTATGTAGATTTATTTTATTTATCATGTTAAAAATTTAGTTGTGTATTCGTGATTTTTAAAAGCATATGCATAGTTATGATATAAAATGACTGTGATATTGCGATTTGCGAAAAAAATAATAGTTTTTTCCATTACCTTAATAAGTGCAGTTGCGCTATTAAAAGCTTAAGGTAATAAATTTTTATTTAGTATTCTTCGACGACCTTCAAACAAATTGGAAAATTTTTATAAAAGTCCATTGAGAATTTCTTTCTGGAGTTTAAGGTAGCTTGAGCGAGTTCCAAAAAAATGAGCAAAAGTACACCTGTATATGGCGGATAAGACATTGAAAAACTAAGCATGAGGCTAGAAGTGGTCTTTGCAAAAGGTTTGTCAGATATGACTGCAGCTATTAAGTGAATCGAATGTAAGGCGACGCAGGCTCTCAGAAGCAAGGCAAACAATTGAAGGATAACGCTGAAAAGGTAACGCCGTGAGAGAAATATTAGAGAATTCAATTAGGACAGTATATATAAAATCAAAATGCGGAAGATATTGTGTCTCGGTGGCAAATTTAATACAAACTATTATATAAACAAACCGACAATTTGAAAAGAGTGAATTGTATAAATTTGTATAATACTTTTCTAATTCTAATGCAGATTATAGGTTCTTCAATTGGTTTTTAATATATTTCCAAAATTTAATATTTTTATTAAATTACTTAAAATAAGATTTCCGGAAAAATAACCTTTAAACTAAAATTTTGTAATAATCTGTAACTTCGTAAAATTTTAACACTGAAATCTAATTATTTGTAGTTTAAATTTTAAATTTTAGTGCATAATTTTAATATGTATAAATGCATATATATTTACAAGTTTTAAAAATAGATATTTACAAAAAAATTTAAATAGGATTAGTAAAATTTTTTTTCTATAAATCTTCATGCATTTACAATTTATTTAACCCTTTCAGACCTAAGCACAAAATAACACTATTAGATTATAATGATAAGCATTGCCTTTTTTAATTAGTCTTTAAATGTTTAAGGCTAAACTCATAAATAAATGTGTTGGTTTGAAAGGATTTTTTTCATAAATATGTGTTAAGCAAAATTTCCGGTTAGCAACAATATCTAAGCATAAAATTCATTATATGCCTTTAAAAAAGAAATGGTTTACTTAATTTAAAAAATAAAACATAAAACATAATAATAATTCTAAATTTGTTTTAAAGCCCCAATACCACTTACAAAGATCATAAGCTCCGCCAGGCACTATACAAAAAAAAAATAAAAATAAAATATATAAAAAAAATCTTTATGATTGTATATTTTTGTTTGTTTTAAATGTTTTTCGTTTGTTTGATTTCTTGTTTTCTTTTAAAGTGTATTAATATATAAATGTTGTATTGCATGTTTTATGTATGTGTGTGTGTTTTTTTTTTGAATATTTTATGTATTTGAAAATATATTAATTGTTCTTACAATACATCTATAATATAATAATTATATAAATAACGGCACATAATGTACGTATGTAATTATATTTAATTAGATTATTTATTATTTAATTTAAACTATAATATTGCTATAACAAATAAAAATATCAAATGAAAAACATATCAAGCAAAATCTTCTTTTTTTTTTGTAGAAAATTAAAGCAAAAAAAAAACACAATTATAATATTATTAAATAATAATTATTTAAAATTAATAATATAATTATAATAAATTACTTTTAAAAATGAAGTTAAAATAAGACGCGAAACAATAATAAAAGGAATTCACTGAAAAAAAAAATAATTCTGCACAATTTATTATAATATAGATGAGAAGCTAAACATGAATTATTGAAATAATTTAAAAAATTAAAACAACAATTTATTTAAGATTATTATTTAAAATTATTATTAAATTAATACGAATAACTCATCTACGTGAATTAAATTTTACTTTATAGAAAATTAAGATTTATATTGTGACGAATTTAAGTAAAAATTTACTAATTAACAAATTAGTAAATTATTTAATAGTGAAATTTGATTTGATAATTATCAATAATAAATAAAATTTTGTAAACCTATTTTTAAGAGTGCAATATTATTGAAATTGTAATTATTAAATTAGAATTTATGAGAATAAACTGTTGAATTATGAGAAAATTTTATAATATACGAAAAATAAATGGAATTAATTGTTTATTTTATGATCCGTAGTTCTACTTAAGTCATAAAATCATTTGATAATTTTTACAATCTTAAGGCACAATAGTGTTATTTATTTATAATACTTTTAACAGCTCTCTACAATACATTTCCTTTCAGTTTTGTTTTCTAGAAAAATTTGATTTTTTATCAACATTTTGACGATATTTTATTTTTTTTTTAATAATATTTTGAATAATAATTATAATCAATCATGAAATTTCTGCTGGTAGCAGCAATTTTTACTTGAATTCATTTGTAATACATAAATATACCGGGATTTCTGAATATTTATAGCAAATATAAAATAAAATAATTTATATTTATTTAATTTCATCCAATCATTCAAATTTTTAATTGTCATCAATTAAAATACAATCAAAACTCAAAATAATGATTGATTGAAATTAAAGTCAATTCAAAAACACATTTTAATTAAATTTCTTTAGTTTGATTGTATAACAAATAAATATGATCAATCAAGAGTATTAAATTTATTTTAGATGGGAAAATTAAAAAATTAAACGTAGTTTAAATTTTTTTTATGTATAAAGTCATACAAAATTAAACTTGTACCCAAATTGTACTAACAAAAAAAAAAAAATGGGGGATTGAAAAACGAAACTTTATGTCCAGAGAATTATTTAAGTGAAGTAGATTATCAAAGATTACATAAGATTCTGTAAAGATTCTGCAGAATAATAATTTTGTATGCAATATTTACCTCCAAAGTCTTAAAATTTTTTTTAATTTAAATATTCTAATATTATAGATATTGTTGGAATATACCGGAACTCTTGAAAAATATTTGTTTTAAGCATTTTTATTTGAAATCATTCATTATTGCTTATTAATATTAAAAGAATTCTTTTAATTACTTTAAAAATTGCTGTGATTTCATATTTATTTGTTTAAAAACTTGAGTCATAAACTTTCGGATTACTTTGAAATTTAATGAAATATTGTTATAAATAGAAGAACAGGAAATTCCAGTATATTTTCTAACTGTATATGTGCATTTACTGTATAATTTACAATCTAAACTTTAAGATTTCCCCAAAATTTTTTTCAAAATTATAATATCTTTTATAATTTTTTGAATTATTCTTTGAACAACTTCGAATCCAATTTAAACTTCTCAATTCTTTATTTAAGATTATCAGTTACAAAAAAATTTCCATATAAATATTCAATTTAAATTTTATTATTTAAATATTTTATGTAATGCAATTCAATTTTACTGAAAAGATTTGCAAATAAAATTCATGAATCACAAAAATAATAATTCTGTTCTTTTTCGATATCAAACTCACTCGTGAAAAATTCGTCATTTTGAAATTTTCTTAGAAAATCAAAATTAATTTTTGGAATTTATTATGACTTCTGGTATATTTAAGATCAACTATGTTCATTTAATATACAAAATTGCAAATTTTATTTATCTTGAATATAATAGGATATTTCTTGTTTTGGTGAGTAATTCCCAATTCTTTAATAGTCAATTTCAAGTTCTTCGCAAAAATATTTGATTGTGTTTGGAATTTGGTAATTAATTGCAAAATTCATTAAGTATTTTTGGGAATTATAATGTATTTTTAGTACAAATACTAGTTATAGTGCATTGCTCATCTTATTTTTTGAAATATAGTAATTAATGCACATATGAGAAACTTTTTGTAATTTTGTTAATTTTTTAATTATTAGCACTGCACAATTAAGCTAATTCAAATGAAATGAATGAAGAACTTGTAGCCTTTTAAAACAGATAAAATATGAATTGAGAGAATTTCGGAATATTAATGGTATTTTTGTAAGAAAAATAAAGCTGTCAAGTTTAGCAAACTGTCGAAATATACGAACATTGTCATTAATTTTCCGATAAATTATTTAATGACATTGAAAGCAAAATTATCATTTACTGCCTTAATTCTTATATGTACATAATTCCATTTATTTTTCTGATGTATTATAAATGATTTTTAAAAATTTAACGCAATAAGTATAGTTTATTATTTATTAAATATTTTTTAATCTTTTAGCATTTAAATTAATATTCAAATATTTATTTGAAATTTTAATGTGTTTTTTTTAACATAAAACATTTGAGGGTAATTATTTTTTTTTTTAAATAGAATAAACATAAATTTCTAATAAAATTTTTCTACTGACAACTTTTAAAATCAAAAAATTTTATTAATTACAAAATCATGATTTATGTAGTAATTATTCCTATAAGCCTTCACCTCTACGTCATTTCTACCATACGTATATATATTAAATATACAGTAATAATACATAGTATATACAGTTGAGGAAATTTGTACAAATTCAATATAAAATATTCAAAAATGCACCGTGGAAAATTCACTTTACGTTTACAAAAAATCATTATGTCACAATTATTAAATATTTTAATAAGTTTTTTGACATTTATATGACGTTTAAAGAGCTAATCAGTGAAAATTTAAATTCATAATAGCGATTTCATAAAATTTATGATTTTTTTAAGTATCTTGAATACAAGAAACTCCAGCATGTGAAATTTTCTAGTACAAAATATTTGGAAAAAAAAAAATAAGTAAATTTGTTCAAATTTCCTCTACTGTATATACACGATTTTAAAACACAATTATATATTTCTATTTATAAATAAAATATAAACACTGCATTCTTTTTTAAATTAAAATTAGAAAAATAATAATTTATATTGAATTCTTGATTACATTTTATTATTCTGTTTACACCTTAGAATTAAGAGTAATTCTATCTTTTAATAGTGAGTAATGTTTACAATAATAAGAAATATTATTCGAAAGTCTACACATAATTAAGAAAAATTATTGCATTAACTTATAGTTGTTTTGCAATATTCCATTATTGTAATTTTATTTTTAGAAAATATTGGAAGTAAAATGGCGCCTATGAAATTTTTAATATACAAAATACAAATTTGGGAATACTTGTATTATAATATAAAAAATTGTGTACCTATAATTCTTTAGTTATATATAGTATTTTATAAGTTTTTTTAAATATTATTATTAGACTCAGTTAAATATTAAAGTGTTATACATACTAATGTATATTATATAACTAGTATTTAATTTTAAACCATAAGAATAATAAAATATATTGGCGTTTAAATTAAGTATTATTACATGATATACAAAAAAATTAAATTGGAAGTTTTTAATTTATACTCTTGATCGTATTAGAACCTTTACATTTCATTTACTTCATCTTTGAATTCATAGAAAGGAAGAAATAATTTGAAATATTAATATGTAAGTAGCTTTCAAAGTGTTGAATAGGGACGAACATTATAACAATGGAAAATTGAAATAATTTACCGAATTTGCAAACATTTGAGTGAAATAATAATTAATGCTTTTATTAGGTGCACATGTTTTCTGAAGATTTTGTTAATTATTTTGTTGTTTGTGCCAAAATTTAGTTTAAAAACAATTTATATTAAGCTGTGACTCTTTGCTCAAATCAATATACACATATTATTTATAAGTGAATTAATATTAAAAATTTCTGGTTAAAAATAGAATGCAGTATTTAATAAAAATGTTATTCAAAATAATTTATCATATAATTTTAAATAAATAAATTTTTGTTAATCAAAATAATGTATATGTTTAAATAATTATCTAAAAACTTCCTAAATTATTTATATAGAATAAGAAATTCTTATTGTATTAATTACATCGTTATTTACTTTTGTTTATACTATTCAAAAGATTCAATTATTTACTTTTTCTTTTTAATTATTTTAATTTAAAGTACAACAGAATTTAATTGTTGAAAGAAATTCATCTTTAATATACATAATTATTATTTACAAAATAATAGAGCGTTTTCCTGCACCAATAATAAAATTTTTTAATTTATTTATTTTATTTCATTTATAAGAACATAATTTTTATTAACTAAATTTTAATTGTTTATTTGTTGACTGTGATTACAATAATATTCATATATCAATATTTCATTTTATACATAATATAATGTATAGTAATATAATATTGTATTAAACACAGTATTCTATATAATATTGTATAAATGTATATATTGAAAAATTTCTTACATTTTCTACCATCTGTAATTATTTGCTCACAATCATGTGATTCTTGTGTAATAGGACATCTATATAAAGCACCAGATTTATATGTTTGTGGTTGAAGATTTTTTCCTAATGGAGCGCCAACTAAAATCCTAAAATGAAATAAAAAAAAATTTTGTTAATTAAAAAATAAATAAGAGTTGGTGATAAAATTAATAATATTAAACAAAAAATTATTTTTAAATAAAAATTTTCAATATAATAGTTGATATTTTTGGCAACAAATTTGAACAATGAAAAAAATGACAATTACTCAAAAGTAACCTAGTTTTCAGATGTGACAGTATTTTCACTGACACATTGTACTTTTCAAATGTCAGTGTTGCTGTACTAATATTTGCAAATCGTAATCGAAATTACAAATTTTTAAATCCCGCGGCAATCACAAACGATCAAATTATAATTTTTCGAGTGAAAATAATCATGGCATTTAAGTAATGGGAATTCATATACGAAAAATATTTTACTGTTTAAATCGAAATATTTAAAAAATTTACAATAAATGACAAATTATTAAATTTATTGTTTATTGTTGGAAAGGAAAACCAATGCACTAACGTAAGCACATAAATAATGTAATTTATCAAATTCTGAAATTGTTTATAAACTTTTTTTAATCAATTATGTTTCGTCATTCTTAAGCAACAATAATAAATAAGCACATGCAATTATAAAAATAAAAATAAGAAAACAGGAAATTATAAAATGACCCCAAAATTTTAACCGATTAAAATTAGTAAATATTTAGTTTTTTATTATTATTTTTTCCAAATATTTTAGGAAAAAAGATACACAAAATCCGAAAAAGACAAGAATAAAGAAAGAAGAGAAAATATTTCTTCAAACATTACAATTTTAATTCAGATAAGATAATAAAAACATTAAATATTTACGCATCTCCAAAAAAAAAAATGAATTACGTTATCTGTTGACGATGGACATTAGCGTAACACAAATGAATTGGAAAAAGAAGGGGGGATTAAGTGATCAAGAAAATTTTAGTATTACAAAAATCTAGTTCTAGTGGTATTCAAATTGTAATGTTTTATAGTTTTGTTGCTACCAACATCAGAACAAAATCAATGATTTTCCAAAAAAAAAAAACGAACCAATTCTCTGGTGTTAATCTAATAGTTTAATGTTGTGTTTGGTTATACAACAAAATCTGAGATTTAATCTGAGTCTGTTGAAAATCATCTGATCCTGTGTGACATTACACTTTTGTAGCAAATAATAGAAATTGCTCTATTCGCATCACTGCCTGATTTACTGTCAGATTTTTAAAAGCAGAAGATATTTTGTAGGAGTTTGGAGCGGCGATCAGCTGATTTTCATTTTGTTTATAATTTTTCAAAACAAATGTATAAATACATGCTTTAAGGTTTTGTTTGAAACGAAAAATTGGATATACGTATACGAGATTATAAAAAACCCCGTTTTTGATACTTTATACCTCATATTTTTTTTAATCTTTCGAAATATTTATTACCTTCTATAAAAATGTCAACAAATAATTTTTTTTGGGTAACCAAAACAAAAATACAAGAAAAAAAATTGGAATCTTCTTTTCGATGATATCTTCTTATTTCTTCTTATATTCACTCGAATACACACTGTAATACATACTGTAGATATCAACAAAATATAAATGTAAATGTACATAATAATGTTCTTCAACTGCAGTTATTTTTTACGAATATTTTGTAAGTAAACACATAATATTGTGTACTTATATAATGTCATCTTAATTCTTAATGCAAACATCACGTTTTATGAAAGTTTAAACCGTTTCTTTTTTAACCTTTTTAAATTTTTATTATACTTTTAATGTGCATTGGTGTACAAAGAACCATTAAATTCAAAAAAAAAAAATTAAATATTATCTTTTAATAAAGGTTTATAATTTTCTGCATTATAATTAATGTAAACGAATATAATGTACACTTAATAGATTAAATTATTTAAGCTTTTTCAGCACACATTTCCAAAAAAAAATAATATGGGTTATTTTTTTTACTTTTTAACAGTTTTTAACAATGTCTTATTTGCGCTGTTCTTTTCTTATTAATGCTTTTTATAAAAAATACAGCTAGCCGTCACTAAATGATCTAAATATCTGTTACAATCCACTAAATCTTCACTCGACTCAATGAAAAGAGCCCAAAAAAATATATATGACAATAGAAAGAACTCTTTTTAGCAGGAATAATCTTTCTAAGGCCATTTTTAATAACAATCGAAGATCGTTTATATTACGATTGCTTGGTATATACATAATTTTCTATATGCATATACATAAGTATATTGTAGTTTTTGTTCCCATAATTGCTGGCTTAATCGAGAACATCGAGAAATTTGTCTTATTTAACTTAAGCATTTGATTAAGTGTTTGTAAATTGAATAACACGCTCTTTTAATTACACCAACCCGTGTTCAGCAACTTTATTAGTATATTATATGTTTATTAAATTTATTGCCATTTTTGAAAAATTAAGTTTTAGCACATTGTTAATTTTGCTTTTAAAGCGGTGATAATATGGTCACCCTAAATATATTCCTTGCAATATTTTTCTTTTATTTGATAAAATTTAATTTACTAAATTTTTTCTTAATATATTAGAGACCACCCGTGAAAAATTAAATTCACTTTTATTTTCTTTTATATGTATAACAATAATAAAAAAATAAAAGAGAAAAATCACATAATAATGATGATAACTGCTTTTATTAACTATCCATATCTAATTGTAAAAAAAAAAATAAAAATAAATAAATAGTGGTTTTCCATTATTTTTTTCTTTTTTTTTCTGAAAAATCATCATGAAAACGCTAATAATTGTGATCTAATTAAAGTTCAAAACCCAGTTTTGTTATACAGGTGAATCTTATTTTTTTTTTTGTTACATTTCTCAGCTATTTCACATGATACCATGTGTGTAGCGACTAGCGTTACTAATCAAACAAGATAACAATCGATAATATAGGAAAAAAGAAAAAAAAAACAAAAAACCAAACAAAAGTTGTTCAATATTTTTTATTGATTGAAAAAATTCTCAAAAAAAAAATTCACTTTAAAAAAAATGAGAAAAAAAAAAACACTATGCTCTTCTCGGATTCTTTTGAAATTGTGCTGCTGCGAGCGCATTTTTTTTTTCATATTATTCAAGTGATTGTTATGTTCTATAAATGGCCCAATTTTCATTTAATTGTAATAAAAAAAAAAAAAAACAAAATAAAGAATGGAAAGTCAATTATTTATTTTTGATATTACAAGGTAGGCGAAGTCAATAAAAAAAATTATTTTTTATTTTTTACTACTTTTTCTCTCTATTATTTTCCTTATGCGATTGATTTTATTAAGAGTATAAAAAAATCGATTTATTAAATTGTATATAAAGGTGTGTATTTACTTGAAGCGATATGCAACAATATGAGTATAATATGTAGTATAGTAAAATTTGTTATAATAAAGAGTGTACGTATAATACACGAGTAACACACAAATAACATGCACATTTTATAAATGAAATTTATCAAAATTACAGGTTGTTTAATTTCTTATTTATTTAATTTCTTATATATTAATTATTTATTTTATTTTGAGTTGGAATTTTAAAAATCTGTTTTCAAAATTGTTCTAAGTGCTTACAGTTTTGATTAATGTTGTATTTGATACTGAAATATTAGTATGTATCAAATGAGAAAATCGATTGAGGGGAGCTACAATCGATATTTTAATTTTCAAAATATCAATTTCTAAACAATTAATAAATTTAGTGAATTAAAATCTTCCACAGATTGTGCAGTGACATCAATTGTTTTTTATCGTAGTATGGTTTTAAGGACATTAATAATTATGAGTCAAATTTTGGATAAAAATGAATTTGATATTTTCCTCATACGAAATTCATAACATTAAACTGGAAAATTATGAAGTCACCTTGTATAATGATGAAAATGATATTGCTCCGTATTTAAACTAACTTGTTTTTTTTCTCTCTCTTTTTCAAATAAAAATATTTTTAGAAAAGATGACGAGAAATTTTGTTACAAAAATATTTTTCAAGTATAACGAATATAACAAAATAAAATCAGTTATACACTTTAGATGATACCCTAAAGCATTCCCGTATAACTTGATTTACTTTTGGAGCAAATTTAATATAGTTTTTTCTAATTAATAATAATAATATTAAATTATTTTTTATTATATTTTTAACACTTGAAAAAAAATTGTTATTTTACAAAATTTTGTTATATTTATATTTTAGGTTAGCCATTGTTATACGTAATTTCGCATAATATAAAACAATATAATTATTAAATAATTAGCGATTTATGTGCGTAAGTATATGTGTTAAAAATAAAATAATTATTTTTATATTTTTTATTGGAGAATGTTCCAATAATTATATTCGATTGCAGCCGGATAATCATACGGCCTTCCACCTGATTGCAAACTAACATGTAAAAGAAATTAGATTTTTTTTTGCTGAAAAATTTAAGCTAACATCAAATCTGTATTTTAGAAGCCTGAATATCAAATTTGTATACCTTAATCTAACGACTAAAATATTGAATTTGTAACGTATTTGATGATCAGAAATGTATAAGATCGCTGTTAATTTACACTTTTCATACGCGGGTATAAAAGTGAAAATGTTATTTTAAAATTTTCGAAAAATGTATTTGAGAGTTTTTGAACGCAATAAATCATAATTAATGCGAATTCTTTAGACTATAGAGACAAATAGAGATCAAAGTGCCCATTCCGGAGTTCTCAAAAGAAGTCGATAACACAAATTTGTACTATAGATATAAAAAAATTAAAGAACAAATTTTCCTGTTAAACCCTTTTCAAATAAAAATAATTTTTATCTATAGCATTTTGAATCGTAATGAATCATAGGTAAAAATCTGAAGTCTTGCAAAATGTTTGCATAAATATTTTTAGATTGGTTTCTGAATCATTGCTTTTGAATCCAATAACAAAATATAATAGCTATATACAGAAATGTAACACAAATTGTTCAGAAAATTAAACCCTTAAGGTATTTTCTTAAAATACACAAATATTAAATTACATTTTTATTTATTAAACAAAAAAAAAAAATTACTAAAATTAAAATAATTCTAGAATTCATGCCTGAGTTCAATTATATAAGTGATATTTTTAAAGAACTAAGAAAACAAAAAAACACATTAAATTTATGTTCAAGGTTTCTTCAATCCGATCAGCCGGACTTACAATACAACATGGAAAACATTATTCAGACCAGAAAAATGATTTTTTTTTTGTGTTGAACTTTTATTTATTTGATTATTTTTATTTTTTTTTTTTTGTTATTATTTTAAATGTCTACGTAACATGAAAATGCAATCAACCTAAAACATATAGTATCTAGTAGTATTTGGACCAAAATAAAATATCACAAAAAAAAAAGAAAAAAAAAGTTGTAACAAAAATCTTAAAATCATGAAATTATAAAGTAAATCGAGATATCGTCTTATAAATTACCGTTAATCAGATCGTAAATATCTCTAATTTAAGATTTGGAATTAACATTAATTTCAAAAGTCTTATCAGATCACTGTAGACTCATATACGTGACATCTCAAAAAGCTAGGCATCGCGAGCAATGATGTTTCTTAATTTCTCAGTATAAATTCTGTAAAAATGCTAATCCGGCAAAAAAAAAACCGTTGAGTAAATATGTACTTATATACTCCAACTGCATTAAAGCTTGTGTTCGAATCTTTTAGGTTGTTTGTGTTCGATGAGACTGGTAGCTCTTTTAAGAAAAATTAGTGGGTCGCAGTTCATTATATTTACTTTGCATTGTTGAGATTCTACACTTTACGTTGTATTGTTGAGTTAATCAATTTGAGATTAGGAAAACGGCCTTTAGCATAATGGTAAAGTATAAAAAATTAGAATAAAATTTTTGCATCAAATTATTAAAAAAATGTAGTGTTTTTTAACAAACAAAAATAATAATAACAAAACAAAAACAAATTACATTTTTCAGATAAATGACAACGCCATCTACTTGTATATTCATTGAACTTTATACATTTCAGTTCAAAAGCACAAAAATAACAAATACAAACAACAAACAAACACAAAATTGAATCGAAAAAATGAAATCGAAATTTAAACCCCTGCAGCAAAATTTTAAAATTTTTCATCTCTTTGTTTTTGTTTTATTCTTGTTTTTTAACATTATTTTGTAGTTGTAGCTAAGCTTTTGTGTCCATCTAGTGCTGATTAAGTGTACAACAAACTGAATAAGAATGTCAAATATAAATTTTATTTAACAACTTTGTTATTGTTTACATGTGTTTCACCTTAACAAAAATTGTTTTAAGATTTTTCTTCACTAGAATTCAATCGTAAAATGTCCAAAAGAAAAAAAAATATTTTTATTATCTTAACAATAATGTAAGGAATTCGTAGT